GATTAAGTCTCATCTGTGAAAATCTAGTCACTATTATTAGTTTAATAAATTTATTAATAATATATGCAAAAGAGTCATTCATTCTTGTCACAGTGGATGCTGAAAGTGAATGTTCAAGGTTGATGTTTTGTTCTCTTCTGCTACATATTTTCCAATGTATGTTTTAGGAGCTGGGGCATTTGTTCCTAAGGTGGGGCATTTGAACAAAATTTTAAAAATAAATATCTAATGCCCTGGGGGGTTGCCCAGGGAGATGTTGAAGTTTCGAATTGAGTAATACATCACAAAGAAGCCTTTAGCCTGTCATAAACATGTAACCACACCGTCACATTGTCAAAATTGCAATAGCGATGACTACACTGCAATCAACGATCAAATCAAGGTCTCCAGATCTCTTGATCGAATTTTGGTTAATCAATGAAGCGTGTCGACACAAACAAACAAGTTGGGTTCAATTTGTTAATTCGAACTTATATGTACTACCATCTAAACGCTCTTTTAACTTCTGGATCAAAAGAAAAAAAAAACCTAGTTCCCTGGTAGACGTTGAAAGGTTTACGTGCTGCATATATTATTTTCTGCAGCACGTAAGTCAGTTTCATTTTCATCGCCCGGCTGAATATACAAGTTTAAGCGAATTATTTATGCTCAAAGTACCACTTCGCAGACTGAAATGTCGTTAAGATTTCATTAATCTTGATTAAAAAAAAAACTGGTCGCAGGCGAATTTCAGCAACATTCTTATAACTAGTTTTGGGGTGTCTAGCAGATAGTAAACACAATCACGAAACTTTCAGGTTATTCGAGAATATGCAAATCTAGCGCCGGCTATGAGTTTGACAATGAGCCAGAATGATTGAGCGCACAAAACGTTCCTTGCTTAATAATATCATTCGTAGATACGATCGATAAACTATAATTTCTAACCTTGTCATTTTCTAAGCCTTTACGGAGTTCTTGTAGGGTAGGTCGTTGTTTCCCGCTGTGCCCATGTGAATGCTGACTTCGATAGAAGATGGTCATTGGGATGGCCTCGTTCGTGGCATATCCGAAGGTGAAATGTTCGGGAGTCATTGGACTTTTTGGTTGTCCATCCTCAATTGAAGGCGAAGATGGTTCGTTTGCATCGTCTGTGGCAGTATCTGCCTGAGGATCGTTCAATTCCGGTCCGAATTTGACCTTATGTACCGAAAACTTTTTGGGCTCCTTCGTAGAGTCGCCATTTCCAGAGTCACTGATAGCATTTTCTTCTCCCATTTCCTTTTCGTCGGTGGCTGCAGCAGGCGTTTCAACTCCCTCGTCAGACATTTTGATCAGCTGACAGGGTACAAGGCTGATCGAAATGTGATGAGCATGCAATATTTCACTGTCCGGCTGCCTGAGTCACATGTATTTATACAAGGACTGTGACCTGTATTTCTCAATCCCGCGCGCGGAAAAAAGTCGACAACGTTCGTAAAGCGTCAAGGGAACAATCCCGTGAAAGTGAAGAATGGTGAAATGAAGGAACGGTGGAACGGTGGAACGGTGGAACGGTGGAACGGTGGAACGGTGGAACGGTGGAACGGTGGAACG